TTGATGTTAAGCTAACTGAATGGCGTTCCTTGGCAACTCTTTGCTAGATAATGAGATGCTAACGAGATAATACTAGCTGAGCTAAGTTTGGCAACTATTAGATCAATATTATATGCCAGAGAACATGAAATTCAACTTCACATGCTCCATCAGCAATCATAGATGTCATGTAGTGATGACACAGTTCAAATTAATGTTTGTAGTAAGATGACATGATAGAAACAGTCTGAACAAATAAAGTGTAAACACTATAAATAATAGCTCCTTCACTGACAGTCTTCAGCATCCATGGTTTGTGAAGGAGAGACTTAGGAGAATAGAGATCCACTGCTCTCAGTAAAAAAACCAAAATTGATTGATTTGTTGATTTATTTTATTTATGTTTAACATGATGAAGCTGACTAAATTGTGCTGACATTATGGCTGTTTTTTAGCCTATGTACATTCAGATGTTGTGTAATGAATTACACATTTACACAATTACACATACACAACATACAGTATGTTTTTTACAGTATGTTTTCCTCAGGCTACAACAATCAAAATCTATGACTGTTGCATCTCAAATTGTCCCACTGTTCACATGTCTTGCATCAATATATTTTTTGTCAGATGACAAGTAGTAGAGAGACTGGAGGAGATGGAGGAGGAGAGGCAGGAAGAGAGACAGAAGGAAATGGAAGAGAGACAGGAGGAGATAGAGGAGAGACAGGAGTCTCACAGGTGAGACTGGGCCTGAAAAGATTATATTAAAACTTGATAATCATAGATGTTATAATTTACCCTGGGAAGCACATACGGACAGATGTGATGAAGTTATCAGTGTATATTCATGTAACTGATAACATTAGAGAATACGTTAACCAAGACATTCTTGTATTTAGTGTAGAAATCTAAATATGCATTATAAAGCAGTGATGAGTTTCGCATCACGTGAAACTGCATTAAAAAATCATCAACGTACAGGTCGCCGCCATGGAGCACTTTTATGTCCCTACCAATGTGAAAATCAAACCTATGCCCATGCATATACGTATGAACTATGGGAATGTCCTAAGGGTTCTTTACTTGTGGAGGAATGTTCTGGATTAAATTGGTATATGGTTAGAATTTGAATCGCCTAGTTTGCCGAGACTATGGCTACGGTTACGTGATGGCTTCTCATTCAGAATGAAATAAATCTGAATGAAATCATTCGGAATTAAAGTTTTTCCAGGTAGTTTACATGGGAAATATTCATTCCGAATGAGGGTTTACACGGGAGATCAGTTTAATCGCCTTTATTCAGGTCCGCACAAGGTTTGGGGCAGGGAAGGTTTCTGATTGGATAGGGGGCGGGGCAAATGTTACGTGTTTACGTTTACCAGAAAAAAACACTGTAGTCCTCGCTCCGGATAACAAGATGCTTCTTAGTGCCTTTTTCGGGCTTGTTTTGCTTATATTCTTGAAGCAGCAATACGACAACAACCTTGTTCTGCTAATGTTTCGTCTGTTGAGGAGGAGAAGAGAGGTAGAAGGTCGAAGAAGGGAGACAGAAGACGGTGCTGTGGTGAATGGAAACCGGTGAGTGCAACGAGCCCGACTGCTCTATCTTAGCCCGTTGCTATGCACACTATATACGTCATCGCGCCAGAAGGGCAAGGAAACGAGCATGCGCAGAAAGACCAGAATGAACTTAAAGAGGAATGAGTGTATACATGTACACAAAATTCTTTCATTCGGAATGACAAACGGAATAAACCACCCCCTTTAATCGGATTTAATTTTCAATTGGAATGACCATTTTTCAATCGGAATGGCCTTTCATTTCAAATGAAAGTGGAATTAAACTGTCCATGTAAACATACTGACTGTCTCCTCGGTGACAAAACTGTAGTGCCATTAGAATATTGAAAACTGGCCTTATAACCTGTGCTCGGATGATTCTAAGGTGTGGAAGGAGCCTCGAACTCCTACACTGAATATGTGGAAAGTGCAAATGATGGAAACTACTGCGTATGAAATGATACTTGGAAGATTAAATTGGAAAAATTATATGGTTAATTAACAATGGGACAGTTTCAGCGGATGTATGTCGGTAGTAGGGCATTAACGACTTTGATTTTTTTCAGGTCGACTTATCTGTCAATAAAGTCTAAGTCGAGTCGACAAGTCATTTGACGTCACATTGACACGGCGGAGGAAAGTGAAGTATCTCCACACGTGATGTGTGTCTGTCAGGCCCAAACATACTCGGGCGGAACGTCAGCGGAACGGACTCTGCGGAGGTCCGCGCAGACTCAAAGCAGACGTCCACAAGCCCTGTGCGTGCAAAGCTCAGATTTTACGACCGCGCGGACTCTGCTCCGCACACCAGTGACTGCTCGGCATGTATTTTTCACATCGCGGGGATTTTTCATGGACATTTTTACAGGAAACTACAATGCAGAAGTGCGCTCGACTATGAAAGCCCAAATGACTGCCCAAATGACATTCCTCGCGGTATCTGCTCCGCTTATAGTACACCCGAGTATGTTCACTAGGATAAAGTATCAGCATAAGCCAATCAGAGGCAGCGATTGCATTCCGTACACAAGCACACAGAGAGAGAGAGAGAGAGGGAGAGAGGGAAAAAAACACACGACTTGTCGACTCCTCCCGGGGGGTGTTGACTTGTGCCACTGACGTCGACACGTCGACAAATCAACTTTTCTGTTAATGCCCTAGTCGGTAAGGAACAATTTAAAAATGTAAAGGCACTGGTGATGTGGTTTAGTGCCCCTCTGACACATTGCACTAATGATTGGCTCACCACTGTGACTGAATAGCAGCCTTTCCTGTACTATTGTCTGTCAGTATTTGCTAGATTTCCTGGCTGTTTGTTTGATTTTGTTTTTGATTGTTGTGTTATTTTGTTAATGATTTTCATCTTTTTAAAAAGCAATAAAAATTTTAATTACGAAAAATGAAAATGGAAACAAATAGCATGGGGAGGAATAACAAGGTATAAGTAGTGAGGTGTGGTCCTGCTCCCAGACTTAAGCCAACTGGTAAACTAAAGTTTGCCCCAAGGACTGTGCCACGACCAAGCAGTTTGTAAAGGTTTAATAAGACAGGGAAGTACAACATGTTGAGGAAGTATAAACAAATTTGAAGATGGGGATGAACGTGGGGCAGGAGGCTGTCCATTGATGCTGGTCTGTGATGGATGTATGAGGGCCAGGGAGGAGGAAATAGTTACAACTGTTGCAGATATGAGAGTGAAATTAGGTGACCAGTGGGAAGGCTGTGCTGATTTACTTTGCAGGAGTGAGAATGAGAGAGATTCTGAAGTATTAAGTTTTCTGCTTAAGTGCTCCATGCTATTTGCTGCAGTGACATTACTCCTCTTACAGCATTACCCTCAGTAGGAAACTACTTGCTTGCAATTTACCAAATCTGCCATGTAAATAGCAGTGCTCCAGGTGCAGGTGCACCTGGCTTATAAAGGGAATTGGAGATCATACTCTGATTGGTTGACTTCAAGTCATGCCCAACACTCACATGATTTTGCCCCATTTTGCCTTACTTTGCACCAGGATTATGTGCCATTCAACCTGCAAAAGTTGAGTGAGACATGCCATAAATGCACTTATGCTATGCACTTAAGACCATATGCTGTACACTGTTTAAATAGGGTCCTGGGTGTTTTTGCAACTTTAGCATAGGATTGTGATGTTCATTACAATTAACACATTCCACCTGTTTATAATTCTAATATAATACGCTTGGGTGGGGACAAAAAATAAACAGGGCAGAGCTGTCTTGCTGCGTTATTGACAAAGCCCTCCAAAATGCTTTTGCTTCAAGTGTCCGTGAATAGCAGTTGTATTGCTTTGAGAAGCCATTTACAATTTGTGGATGAGGTTTTTCAGCTGCAGCTTGTTGTGTGGAAGCATCTATGCTTTGATTGGGCGCAGCTTATTTTATTGCAGCTTCACTTCATCGATTGTATCGATAAATTGGCCCAACCCTAACTGCTGGCATTGAAATTTTTCCTGACATTAAAAGTGGGACAAAATATCAGTAAGAGATTGTATCGTATTATTTCCTCTTGTGATGTTATTGATACACTGGTGCCAAATACTGATATTTTTATTAAAACATGCAGAAACTCACAGGAGGAGATGCCAGACAGTGCAGACAGCAGGGGAAAACAAATCCCGAAGCACCGTCATCTTTTAAGTCAAGTCAAGCTTTTAACACACAGTTGGGACAAACAAAATTGATAAAGACTATGCTAGTACATAGGCAACCAACCCAATCACCAAAATAAATTTTGAGATTGTATGTTTTACAGACCACAGATATGTTTGGGCTTATATCTCAGCTGCTGAAGTCTTGCTAAAAAAAAAAAAAGTCTTGGCTCGAAAGGCACAATTAAAGCTGGAAATGTCCCCAATGTCACACTCAAGAACACTCGCTCTCTGTGACACAATTAACACTGGACATGCAGCCAACATCTTGCTAAAGAACTCCTGCTTTTGGTGGCACAATTGATGCTGGGAATGTCACATGCATCCATTTCCATCCATCTATGTTGGGCTGAGTCACAGGAGCAGGAGGCTGAGCAATGCTTTCCAGCTCCTCCTGAGGGATCCTCCCCCTTTTTCTAAGACTTAGCCCAGCCACCCTCTGGCAGTACCCCCAACAGGATTCCCTATGGGATGCAGTCATAATATTTCTTCAAGTCCACAAAACGCACGGAGACTGGATGGGCAAACTCTCATCACCCCTCCAGCAGCCCTGCAAGGGTAAAGAGTTGGTCCACTGATCCACAGCCACGATGGAATCCAAATTGCTCTTCTTAAATCTGAGGTTTGACTATTGGTGACTGACTTAGCTGTCAAGTAATAGAAACTTGGCCAGTTTCCCAGGCTGTTGAAATATTTCTTTAAGTTAATTTTTCAATTATAAATCGTGAATTGTTCAAAAGCACCAATAATAAATAATGAACTTCTCTTTCCATCCTCTCCTTTTAGAGGATGAACCGGTAGTTTTTGCCACCAACTCCCTTCAGAGGCGTAAAAAGGGGCTGGGCTTAACCGGACTGCGCACCACCGGCTCAGGCTCCACTCATTCAAAGAACAAACCAGGGCTTATGATTGGCCTGCCACAAAACTTCAGACAGATCTCATCCATTATTGATGTGGACATCTTACCTGAAACACACCGACGTGTACGACTCCACAAGCACGGTACCCACAAACCACTGGGCTTCTACATCCGTGATGGGGTTAGTGTTCGGGTGACACCACAGGGCGTAGAGAAGGTAAGATGTATTTTTATTTCATTTTAGATAATTCCACAGACATATCACCTTTCAAGCTGACAAAACTGATGATAAATATCTGGGTCAATAACATACCTTCTCTCAGACTTTCTCTGAAAATCATCCTTTACTATGAAAATACATAAGGAGAGAAAAGGCAAGTCCAGCAGAATTATTGTTTATCTTTGAAAATGTTACATGACAGTTTAAAATGGAAAATGAAACATTTGACACATTTTTGGCTTGCCTGTCATGAATCATGGCACTGACCTGAATATCAGAACTGAATTATGGAACTTGTTGAAATGTTTTCTTGGGAAACTGATAAAAAAACAAAAGGTCACACCATTCCAGATACTTTTTTTTTTTAACTGTTTACTGCTGTTTCTTCAGATGTAATGGAGTGGTCCTCCATCTAACTATAATGGAAATAATCTCTGTATGTACAGTACAGGTCAAAAGTTTGGACACACCTTCTCATTCAATGCGTTTTCTTTATTTTCATGACTATTTACATTGTAGATTCTCACTGAAGGCATCAAAACTATGAATGAACACATGTGGAGTTGTGTACTTAACAAAAAAAGGTGAAATAACTGAAAACATGTTTTATATTCTAGTTTCTTCAAAATAGCCACCCTTTGCTCTGATTACTGCTTTGCACACTCTTGGCATTCTCTCCATGAGCTTCAAGAGGTAGTCACCTGAAATGGTTTTCCAACAGTCTTGAAGGAGTTCCCAGAGGTGTTTAGCACTTGTTGGCCCCTTTGCCTTCACTCTGCGGTCCAGCTCACCCCAAACCATCTCGATTGGGTTCAGGTCCGGTGACTGTGGAGGCCAGGTCATCTGCCGCAGCACTCCATCACTCTCCTTCTTGGTCAAATAGCCCTTACACAGCCTGGAGGTGTGTTTGGGGTCATTGTCCTGTTGAAAAATAAATGATCGTCCAACTAAACGCAAACCGGATGGGATGGCATGTCGCTGCAGGATGCTGTGGTAGCCATGCTGGTTCAGTGTGCCTTCAATTTTAAATAAATCCCCAACAGTGTCACCAGCAAAACACCCCCACACCATCACACCTCCTCCTCCATGCTTCACAGTGGGAACCAGGCATGTGGAATCCATCCGTTCACCTTTTCTGCGTCTCACAAAGACACGGCGGTTGGAACCAAAGATCTCAAATTTGGACTCATCAGACCAAAGCACAGATTTCCACTGGTCAAATGTCCATTCCTTGTGTTTCTTGGCCCAGACAAATCTCTTCTGCTTGTTGGCTCTCCTTAGCAGTGGTTTCCTAGCAGCTATTTGACCATGAAGGCCTGATTCGCACAGTCTCCTCTTAACAGTTGTTCTAGAGATGGGTCTGCTGCTAGAACTCTGTGTGGCATTCATCTGGTCTCTGATCTGAGCTGCTGCTAACTTGCGATTTCTGAGGCTGGTGACTCGGATGAACTTATCCTCAGAAGCAGAGGTGACTCTTGGTCTTCCTTTCCTGGGTCGGTCCTCATGTGTGCCAGTTTCGTTGTAGCGCTTGATGGTTTTTGCGACTCCACTTGGGGACACATTTAAAGTTTTTGCAATTTTCCGGACTGACTGACCTTCATTTCTTAAAGTAATGATGGCCACTCGTTTTTCTTTAGTTAGCTGATTGGTTCTTGCCATAATATGAATTTTAACAGTTGTCCAATAGGGCTCTCGGCTGTGTATTAACCTGACTTCTGCACAACACAACTGATGGTCCCAACCCCATTGATAAAGCAAGAAATTCCACTAATTAACCCTGATAAGGCACACCTGTGAAGTGGAAACCATTTCAGGTGACTACCTCTTGAAGCTCATGGAGAGAATGCCAAGAGTGTGCAAAGCAGTAATCAGAGCAAAGGGTGGCTATTTTGAAGAAACTAGAATATAAAACATGTTTTCAGTTATTTCACCTTTTTTTGTTAAGTACATAACTCCACATGTGTTCATTCATAGTTTTGATGCCTTCAGTGAGAATCTACAATGTAAATAGTCATGAAAATACAGAAAACGCATTGAATGAGAAGGTGTGTCCAAACTTTTGGCCTGTACTGTATTGATGTGTGTCCTTCGCATATCCCACCAACCATTCTTCCAGTGGTTGGTTGCATTTGCCAGGTATACAGTGCCTTGCAAAACTACCCCCTTGCTATGCAGCCAGGTCTTATTTAGGGGCATCATAGCAAATGGGCAAGCACATATCCACGTACCACTTGTAACTACACCAATTTTGACTATTTTGTGTTGGTCCATTACAGAAAATGCAAATAAATGAAAATCCATATAAATCACAGGTTGTAATGCGAAAAAAACAGGATAACAGCTAAGGTGGGTGATGTACTTTTGCAAGGCTATTAAGGTTTCTGTGGTCATGAAAAACCTGGAAAAGTCTTGGAAGTTTTAAATAGCAATATCTAGGCCTGGGAACGTTTTGGAACATTATAAATATACGCGGAAAGTTGAGGAAAAGTCATGGTAATTTGTTTCACAAATACCTGGATAAAAGAGTATATGTGGTCTAGTTAAGATCATCTGAAAAAAATCTAAATTAGCTTAACAGATCAGTCACGTCACTTGACGTTCTTTGCAGGGGTAATGTCAACCTGAGTCAACCTTGTTCTTTAATGAAATGTAAGTTCACGTAATGCGAAGAAAATGTTTACTGGATATCGTCTGGTGTCGTCTGACTTTAGTGGGATAAGTGTAGGGCATAGCTTGGTAAGGACCAGAACCTGGGATGTGCAAAATGTGAACTGTGTGTCGTAAATCGTTCAATGTTTTTAACATGGGAGAGGCAATGACACAGCATGTCACACCCGATGCCAGCTGCAGTGCTTCTCTTTTGTCCACCACCAGACAAGGGACCATTTTGGGTCATTTTTGGGTACTGTTCCAGAAACGGAATACTAACTGCATTAGAGGTGGGTACCAAAACCCAGCTGGCCGCGGGGGTAACGACTGTAGTATTGATAAAGTCTGACATTACTGGTACTTTTATCGGTATTTTTTTTTAACACAAACGACACTGACTGAAGTCAGTGAACAGCAGAGAGGGTGCTGTGAATACAATAAACAACATTCACTACTGTAAATGCAATAGAACCTTAGCGAGTTAAAAGCAGCATGTCGGCTGTGTATATCGCCAGTTTTTCCGTAATAACTTGAAACTAGGGCTTTTCACTCTTGCTGTCAATTACACACAGGTCCAAAAGACACACACATGCACAAACAGGACCTATACGTGCACAAAGTGGAGAGATGTCAGAGTGAGCGGTTGGGGGGGTTTGGTGCCTTGCTCAAGGGCACCTCGGCAGTGCCCAGGAGGTGAACTGGCACCTCTCCAGCCACCAGTCCACACTCCATATTTGGTCCGGATGGGGACTCGAACAGGCGACCCTCCGGTTCCCAACCCAAGTCCCTATGGACTGAGCTACTGCCGCCCCATTCATATGCTTAGTTAATTACGACCTTTATTTATTTATGTTGGACCTTTCACACTACAAATTTATTCCAATTAGCTTATCTGAAACCAACTGCGATGAGATGCTGCGACCTGCGAGCTCAGTTCCAAACATAGACTGCGGAGATGAAACTCCGCCTTCCGTTGCGACTTCCGTATGTGGGCAGGTATGGGCCGACCCAAAGCCAACGTAACAGAGACGTTTGATGAGCTGGGACAAAAGAGTATTAAATTTAAAACGTTATAAATTAAGGGCCGATGTGTCGTCCTTAGGCCGACGTCGGCCAGATATATGTGTGCTATCTGGATACTAATAATATTACTTTAGGCAAAATACCAATGCTCAATAAATCCATGGTCTGCTTTATTAATGCCATTGTCACATCAAAGCAAGCGACGAACACAATTATTTGGGGATGAATACCTCCACTAAGTGTATTTCATCAGTGTATTGTGAAAAGCACTGACTTTGGTGTTGTTAGGGGTAGATTTAGTCATTTGGGGCAAATGTCATCTTGCTTTACTTTTCACCCTTTCTCTCACTGTGAATGTTACTAAGTTCTGCATCTAATTTTTGGTAGCACTTTTTATGAAGACCACGTCTATAATGCATCATAAGGCCATTCATAGTGAATTATAATGCATTTATAATGTTCTGTTACTACACTCATAAAGACACATCATGCTTCCTGATGCACTATATCAACAGTCATAAAACATTATAGATCTGACTTGAAGTGTCTTATGGATGCTCTTGACAACTTGAAGTGTCTTATGGATGCTCTTGACAACTAGAGTTGACTGATGGGGCTTATGATGCATTTTGAATATCTATACTCACCTATACACACTTAACACGCTTCAATATCACTCTACGTGTTAAGTAAAGTACATTGATATATCAATAATAATGCATGCTTCATCATAGTGTTTCATTGTTGGTGCTCAGTAAAGTGTGATGCATTTTCATGTATTTAAAAGAATCCATGATGCATCATAAGTAATTAATGTCTATCATACACTAGAATAATTTGAAAAACTTTTAAAAGACTTAATTCTGACACCCTTTCGCATCTTCAGACTGTGTCATGAGTCAGAGAGTTTCCAATCACAAAATACAATTTTACAAAAACTGGGCATCTTGCTGAGTCACTATTTGCAAGACTGTTAGCTTCAAAAAGAAAAAAAAAAAAGTGGACAGAAATTGTTGCAGCCTGTTACATCCTTAAACTAGTCCATACCCATTGAGTGCACAGTTGCCCACGTACAGTTTCACATGGTGTGTGTTTGGGATACAGGTTATAAGAAATTGCAGATTAAATAGTCAGCTGAACCCATTAAGAAGAGCAATGTATTCAGACAGAGTTTTTGTGAATTTGATAGTACGATTGCTCATCTACAGCTGATGTCCGTTTGAGGTGGATACATATATTAACACGCATGTGCAGTAACTCATGGGGTGAATGCATACAATTCAATTAAAAGCGACTTTGTAAAAGAATATACTAATAGTGTAATTTTTGGAAAAAGTAGCTTTGTCACCTTCTACCTATGCCAATCCTCAATGCCTATGTGCAGTTTCACATAGATTGACCACGTCAGTGAGTAGAAAAACGTGGGACAGACAGAATGAATGACTGACAGAAGAGCACATTGACAGTTTCCGTGATTATGTACAGCATACCATGACTGTCATACCAAAAATTAGAAAAAAAAAAAAAAATATTCAGCCACAGGGGGAGCCACAGCCATCAGTCACATTTTAGCCATTTTTAAGCATTTTTCTGTTGTTATAGCCCCACCCAGTTGCCAATTAGAGTTACATTTCTCCAGTCACATTGAGGCATCCTGTTCTACTTATCTACCAAGTTTAGTAAAAATCGATATGGTGGTTAGGCCTAGATAAGAAATTAGCTCTCTAGCTCCTCCATTTTGTTTTATCGGGTCAATAATGGAGGGGTTCCCTCAGATTATGTGTGGTAATATGCCTACAAAGTTGCGTGGTGATCGGTGAAACCCTTGACGTTATACACCTCTATGTGATGAGCCACGCCCTCCACAATATCCATTGTCTTATAGAAGCTCAGTTTTAGTAAGTTTTCCAACTTTTGCCAAGAGGGAACTTTAGATATTGGTCCCTAGATTATTTTCACCGAGTTTCATGCAGATCAGTCAAACTTCCTAGGAAGAGATCGATCAAAGTGTTTTTTAAAAAACTCAAAATGGGGGAAAATCTATATAACCGGAACTTGAGAGTAATTTGTTCTTCATGAGGAGAGGCATCTCTGTGCAAAGTTTCATGTCTCTACGACATACGGAGCATGAGATATGCCCATTCAAAGTTTGCAATTTCAATCGGTTACTGTAGTGCCCCCCTTTGGCCAATTGATGTAATTTTGCATCATTCGCATCCTCCCATTACCCTCTACCACTGTGCCAAATTTCACATGGATTGACCAACTCAGTGAGGAGAAAAACGTGGAACAGTCACACACACAGACACCCACAGACACGCAGAGTTTAAGATATGAAAATTCATCCCCTGTACAGTTGTCATAAAGGGGGGAAAAAGCTATAGAGACCAAAACTATTTTTTGTACCATGCTGTAAACATGTTTATTTCTGTTGTAAAGTTGGACATTTTAACATTGGGGTCTATGGGGATTGACAGGCCTCTTGTGGCCAGCCCCAAGTGGTCGTTCAAAATATTTGAAGTTTTTGGCACTTCCATTGCTTTATTTTTCTTCCCTGGATGTTGCCTCTTGTGGGAGGACTACAGAAGTTTTTGAAATGAACACAGTTTATGTTTCTGCAGTCGTATGGTAAACCAGTATCAGGAAACATACCTAAAAAAAGAGGACTAATGATAAAATAATACAGCAAATATTTGGACATATTTTCCTTTTCCATACTCCCATAGGTCCCAGGGGTTTTCATTTCTCGTCTGGTACGTGGCGGGCTAGCAGAAAGCACAGGGCTGCTGGGAGTTAATGACGAGATCCTGGAGGTCAATGGCATCGATGTAGCAGGAAAATCTTTGGATCAGGTAAATTTAGTGTTCAAAATTAACCCTCTCCTGCTATTCCCTTTCATTTTGTGCCTACTGTGAATTGTAGACACATATGCAGATATAGGAGCCCTGTCTGCACGGTGAGTGATTAGTTCACAGATCTATGTCATAAGGAAGTAACAGAGTTTATGGAGTCCCGCTGCTAGTTCTTGTTCTTAGGACAAGCTTAGGGAGGTTTAGGTGTGTTTATCTGTCACCTGTTTTGAGGGGTTTTGTTGTGGGGAATTGGGGTGGTAGGTCCTACAGATTCACTTTTATTTTTATTATTGTTTGTGTTTTTAATGCTACTTCCTTCTACAAGGCATTATGTCATCTCACCATATACTTACAAGGTTGATTATGGCTAATACAACAAAAAAAGGGTTGTCTTGTTTGAGATTTGTCTCTTGGAATGTTAAAGGGATCAACGGCCCAGTTAAAAGGGGTAGAATATTTTCCCATTTAAAGCATCTTAAAACAGAAATTGCTTTCTTACAGGAGACACATTTGATCGCCAAGCTTTTCACTCCAATTTTAGTAGTAAAGCAAGGGGTACATAGATTTTAATACATAAAAAAATACAGTTTAGCCCAACAAATGTCATAGCTGACCACCAAGGCCATTTTGTTATAGTCTCAGGTTCCTTTAATAATGTATCTGTTGTTCTTGTCAATCTCTATGCACCCAACTGGGATAACAAAGCATTTATCGGGAAAGTAATCTCAGTTTTACCAGATCTAAGTTCCCACCATTTAATCTTAGGGGGTGATCTTAACTGTGCAATAGACCCTTTGTTAGACAAATCTTGTCCAAGGCAGGATCCTCCTGCTAAAATGGCTAAAGCAATTTGATCATTTATGGATCAAATAGGAGGTGTGGACCCATTGCGCTTTCTTTATCCTGATAAAAAAATATTTTCTTTTTACTCTCAGGTCCATAAAACATTTTCAAGAATTGATTACTTTTACATTGATAATTATTTTCTTCCTGCTGTCGATAATATAGAATACTCAACGATAGTGGTATCTGACCACGCTCCATTGCTACTCGACCTTTCGTTTACACTCTTACAAAAAACACACCCCCCGTGGAGGTTGAATTGCACATTGCTGAACAATGATGGATTCTGCAAAACAATTTCAAAAGTAATTGACGATTTTCTCATAATTTACAAATCTAATCTCATATCCCCATCTCTACTTTGGGAGACATTAAAGGTGGTAGCCCGTGGAGAGATTATATCTTATTCTGCGAGACTAAATAAACTTAAAAAACAAGAACAGCTCATGGAAAGCATAACAGAATTGGACAGAAAGTTATCAGTATCTCCATCCCCTGAATTAGAAAAGGAGAGACAAAACCTTCAAATGAACTACAACTTACTGTCAACACAAGAAACTGAAAAATTACTCTTACGATCACATGGATTTCTTTATGAGCACAGTGAGAAGGCAGGACGTCTTCTGTCTTGCCAAATTAGAAGCCATTCAGTATCCCAGCAAATTAAACAGATTAGAACCCCCTCAGGTGAACTTACTGTAATGCCATCTGTCATTAATGAAACCTTTAAAACATTTTACTCTGAATTATATACTTCACAATCCCCAACCGACAAAACAAATATGGTGAGTTTCCTGGATAACCTGAAATTTCCACCCATATCTTCTACTCAGAAGTGCGAAATGGATCGACCTTTAGAAATTCGTGAAATCGCAGATTCAATTAAACTAATGCAAAGTGGCAAGGCCCCTGGCCCAGACGGCTATCCTATAGAGTTTTTCAAAAAATTTGCTGATAAATTAACCCCCCTCCTTTTAAACATGTTCAGTGACTCTCTGGACCAGGGAACCCTGCCTCAAACTCTCACCAAGGCGTCAATAACCTTACTACTAAAACCGGGTAAAGAAGATTCTGATTGTGGTTCTTACCGTCCCATTTCTCTTTTAAATGCTGATTATAAGATTTTAGCTAAAGTACTGGCCTTGCGACTTGAATCGGTTATGCCAAGCATAATTTCACTCGACCAAACTGAGTTTATGAAAAACCGACACTCTTTCTCCAACATCCATCGCCTCCTCGACATTCTTTTTTCTCCAGCATCCAGGGAGACACCAGAAGTGGTGGTCTCCCTGGATGCGGAGAAAGCATTTGATAGGGTGGAGTGGAGTTATCTGTTGGAGGTCTTGGAGAGGTTCTGCATTGGGTCTAAGTATACATCTTGGATTGCATTTTTATACTCTTCCCCTAAAGCGTCCGTAAGCACTAATGGGATGAAATCCCAATATTTCACACTTAGCAGAGGAACTTGCCAAGGGTACCCTTTGAGCCCGTTGTTGTTCGCCGTGGCAATCAAACCTTTATCTATTGCACTTAAATCGGCCAGTTTTAGTAAAGGATTCCACAGATGTGGTTTGGAACATACACTTTCCTTCTATGCGGATGATTTATTATTGTTTATTTCTGATCCGATAACAACCATCCCTAAGACAACTGAGTTGTTAAACAGCTTTGGAACATTTTCAGGTTATAAATTGAATTTTTCAAAAAGTGAATGCTTTCCTGTAAATAATTTAGCCCTTGTGATCCCTAATGTGTTTCTTCCATTTAAAATGTCTAAAAACAGCTTTAACTATTTAGGTGTGCATATCTGCCGTCAGATCTCTTCAAGAACAACTTTCCACCCCTAATCGACAAGCTTAAATTAGATCTGGAAAGGTGGAACAATTTGCATCTAACTATAGCAGGCAGGGTAAATTGCATCAAAATGAATGTGCTTCCACGCTTTCTGTATCTTTTTCAATGTTTGCTGATTTTTTTACCCAATTCCTTTTTTCGTATAAACTAGTTTCATCTTTTATATGGAAAGGCAAGACTCCCAGGATAAGGAGAGAGTTTTTACAAAGGCATAGGTCCGTAGGTGCACTGTCACTCCCTAACTTAAGACTCTACTATTGGGCAGCTAATACACACAAAATGACTCTCTGGATCCAAGAACCTGAATTAAACTGGTGTAAGCTGGAAGCTAAATCCTGCTCTACCTCACTTTTAGCTCTGCTTACATCAAAATTGCCCTTTCGATCATCCCAATTTACATGTAACTCAATTGTTGTCTCCACCCTTAAAATTTGGTTTCAATTTAGAAATACTTTTGGACTCCAGGGATTGTCCAATCACAGCCCCATTCACAATAACCATCTCTTCCTCCCTCCCAGCACAGACTCCGCCCTTTCTCTATGGCAGAGATCAGGCCTTGTCAAGCTAAGGGACCTCTATACTAACAATGTCTTTGCTAGCTTCAGTGAACTATGTAAAAAATTTAAACTCCCAAAATCTCACCTATTCCAATACTTCCAGCTCCGTAACTTTGTTAAATCAAATAGCACCTCTTTCCCTAATACTCCCCCTAACTCAGTAATTGACTCAATTCTGGACATCTCCTCAAATCAGAAAGGTCTTATCTCAAAAATGTACACCTTAATCTCATCATCATCAGACACCTCTTGATAAAATCAGAAAACATTGGGAAGTAGAACTTGGCAGTGTTAAAACTGGTGAACCAGGAGAGAATGGACTCAAACGCACGACTCAAGAGGCAGTTCAGGTAAGTAAAAAGTCTTTACTGGACAAAATAGGTTGAGGTAGACACAGGGAGATCAGTAGAGGCAAAAGTATCCAAAAAGGGACAAGGCAGAGGCAGAGTCAAAAAACAGGCTAAGTCCAAAAAACCAACAAAGAGGCACAGGGAATCAAAAAGCTGGAACGTCGACACCCAAGGAGCTAAGACATACTGGCACAGAGAGAAAACAAGGCACACACTAAATACTGTGGTGAGGGGAAGGATAACAAGGCACAGGTGAGACTAATCAGGGCGGGACAGACAATCTGACACAGGTGAAGCCATCAAAAGGGAGGGAAAACACACAGGGGCAGGAAGTGAAGTGATTTGAAATGAGAAGAGATGTGAGTTTCAAAGTAAAACAGGAAACAACATAATTGAATAAAAACAACCTAAGAAACCTGAGCTGTGACAGGCAGAGTTATAGATGACAGTGACTGGGACTCATGCATTAACTCGAGTAAATAACAGTACATCTTGTGCCAGGCTTAATCTGATTCAATTTAAGGTTGTCCACCGTACTTATTTTACCAATTCTAAACTCTCCAAAATGTATTCTGATATCGCAGATACATGTAATAGATGTCACATGACACCAGCAAACATGACACACATGTTTTGGTCTTGTCCCCATCTGCAGGACTATTGGACAGCTATTTTTAAACATCTTGCAGAGGCACTAAACATGAAGTTGACGCCATTTGCAGAAATGGCCATTTTTGGAGTATTATCAGACCCTCAAACAATTAGGAGGAAGTGCAAGTTAGAATCGCCTTTGCATCCTTATTAGCACAAAGAAGAATTTTGTTGGAGTGGAAGTCACCATTGCCCCCAAAGCTTTATTGTGGCTTAAGGACCTCATGCTGTACATAGACCCAGAGAAAATTAAGTATAATCTGAGGGGGTCACTTGGAAAATCTGATTCTGTTTGGGACTGTATGATTAATTATATAGCTAAATTAAAGACACTACAGGACAAATGAAATCCTCACCTCTGACAATCAGCTTGTCACCATATTTTATTTTCTTCTCTGCCCTTTTTTTTCAATCCATCTACAATGCTACTTCTCTGCATGTTGTTATCTTTTTTATCTTTTTATTTGTTCACCTGCTTATGATAAGAAGGAAGGATGTGTATTATTTCTTGCCTTTACTGATTTGTAACAAGCTTATGTAGGACCAAGAGGGGGGGGGGTAAGTGTCGTTTTTGGAAAAAAGAAAAAGTCCTTATTTGCCATTGTATTCACTTTTGCCTGCCAATTGAATAGAAAGAATTATTAAAAAAAATAAAAAATTTAACCCTCTTTGAGATGCAGCTGAGATTTTAGGTGATGTTTTCTTTTTTTGTTTTGTTTTACACTAAGATTTTTTGCAGGGTTACTAAAAGCAGATCTTGTATTGTGTCATAGTATGCAGTTATACAAAGCTTTTCTTAGAGTTGTTATATTACTGTAAATTAGTTCAATCATTTAAAACTTGAAAAAGAAATAAAATATCTTTTGTTTCTTTTTGTTTCTAATTCAACAAATCAAACACCTGCAGCATTGACCCAAGGCTGATTTAATGACAATCCCAATTAATGGATATCAAACACTAACTGAAGCTATCAAATTTCTATAATCTTAGTGGATTTATGTGCAAATGTTAGCTATTGGCATGAAACGTATTGGATGGAAAGTGCAGTGATGTTTAACAGTGTGCCAACAAATTACTGCTAATGCCTTTTGTAGGGTCATTCGCCTTGGAGCTCTGGAGCCATGTCTGATTTTTTTAATTTCAATTATAGCATTTTGGTTAAATGAATTAAACAGATCCAACATGGTTCTTCCAAAAGTTATGTTGTTACAAGCACATTTTGATTGCAATGATAACAATGAATATCAGGGTGCTTTGATTAAGTGTCAAAAGAGGAGTAAAAGATGTTTCCAAATTTCATATTTTACAGATTTAAAGAAGGGAACTGTGAATCATGTGACTACCCTTGTCTTTAATAAACAAATCCCTGAAGTGTTTTTTTTTATTTTATTTCTCTTCCTTTGATACTAAGACCATCTGCGTGTCATTGCAGGTTACAGACATGATGGTGGCCAACAGTCACAACCTCATTGTGACTGTCAAACCGGCTAACCAGAGGAACAATGTGGTGCATCGTGGGAGTAAAACCTCGATGGGCAACTCTGGTTCTGTGGGCTCAGCTGGATCTACTGGCTCTGTTTTGTCACATGACTCACCAAGCCCCGCCTCTCAGAGCAATCCTGTTACTGCAAGGTATGACATGGACAGGACAGAGGACCTGCTTCTTGCACAGTAGAAACTGATTGAAAAAACGCAGTGCCAAGGAAATCCCCCCCAAAAAAGACTCAAAAGTAGTCATGGAAATAATATATGTCTAACATTTTAATAAACCCTCTTTGGTTCAGGAATTACAAGATAAATGTAAACTTTTTCGGTGTGACACCCCCTGATCAGTCCCGATCAGTGTACAACTTGTGACTTATGGCACGGTTTTTGTTTGTTTGGCCATAATAGTGGTTTACCACTTTGGTTGCCTTGGTTTATGGAAAAAGAGAAGAACTTTGCAAGCAGTATTTGGTACTTAAATTCAAAATGTGGCAATATAATGTAGGTTTGGGACATTCAACAAACATATTATACCTTAAACCTGTAAAAATCAATATTTTTATATAAACAATGCAACTAGGGATGCACGATTATATCGGCACATCATCAGTATCGGCTGACATTGGTTTTAAAATTAAATATCCGAATCAGTCATCATGTCCATGTGACAAACCGATTTTTTCTAATTAATTAACAAAGTAAACAATACAACAATGACACAGCACATGTAACAAAACAACGTATCTGAAAGATATACAAGTATGTAGGAAGAATATAAATGACAACAGTTAAAACATATGTTAAAATAATCATGTGTAACCTTTTCACAGTTGGCTGTGTAAAAACCACCAGAGCAATGAAGCAGAAAGGATATCTGTGGCATGATTGTAAATGACGATGAAAGGGCCATTACCAAAGATTACATGTCCTTATGATCCACTTACTAACTATGGTGTGAAAGGACCTAGAATATAGAACAAAATGAGGATACTCCTGTGTTGAGATAATGCCGGATGAGTCCGGCAGCGCTGTGTTGTCCTCTTCTGTTGTAGCGTTATCCACTCTTGAGCCATCGACCAGCGTAAAATCAACTGCTAAGCTAGCTAACGGCTAGCGAGCTACAGTCTACACTTGTTAAAAGCTGCTAAAGTTGCTAGCTAGATGCTTGGGACTAAACCGTTATCACAGTTCTTGCAACATGGCACTTTGTCAAAATGTTCATTCACAGTCAGTGAACAAAAGCCCCACACTCTGTACACTCCGGTGCTTACAGTCAGTTCTTGTTGGCTCACTATTTAGTACTTTTTCTGTTGGCTGCTCTCCTCCATGCTGTCGTCTCTCCAGGGTTGTCAGTTCTGACCCTTTACTTCTTTGCCCCTATGACAGGCTAACAGCTTAACAAGCAAATTACCACCCTTTCAACTTGAAATCTACTAAGTAAAGTCTGTTTTACAAATTTCTTAAACCACCACAAAGTAAAACAACACCCTTATAAAACAAAAGGCTGTGAATTATTATTTTCCTTAGAGCATTTCAAATTTTAAAGTGAAATAATAAATAATAAATCCATAAAATTAGACAATGTATAACAGTACTACACAATGCAAACACAAATACATGGTCTTAAACCAGGGTATTACATAAGTACATAGATGAAAATACATATAAAAATAAGGATAAACCAGGGCACACTGATACATACGAAGAGGTATATTCAGTTGCAGGATTAGGGGAAGGAAGTTGCATAATTTTCGTAACATATGAATATATCGATATTCGTATCGGTTATCAGCCAAATGAGTTGTTATATATTGACATCTGATATCAGCAAAAATACAACAGATGATTAAGCGTTATATGAAAGATGTCACTCGTACTGTTGAAACCACAGAAAATGATCTCCAACTCTGCAGTTCCCCTCAGCTCTGCAGAGCTTCTAGCCTCTTTGAGATTCCCAGCTCACAGCTTTACTGTTTTGGTTTAATCCCACTGTTTTCATCAACATGGTCTCCAGTAGCAGCATCAGCTGCTGTTTTCAGTGGAAAAACAGCTCTATGACCATTTTACACTGCCTGTTACGCAGAGAACAGCAGAAAAACACAGTTGAGCCCCTGTCCCACAGGACAAAGAACCCACTAACATCTAGCTTTTGTATTTCACGGGAAAGGTTAGAGTCGGCGTTCACTCCCAGGACAAATGAATTTGCAGTAGTTAATTGGCTTCAGCTCTCATTGGATTCGATCAGCAGTGATGGAAATATGACACCCGGGTAGTCATGCAAATTTTAGCCCTTTGCCGGCACGGTGCAATAACCAGCCACCAGAGAATGCCATTTGTCTCCGTCCAAGCAGCACGTAGTTTGAAAGAGAGACTGGATAAGTAAGAGATATAAAAAATAAGTAACCTCTGTAACATTTTCATTTCATTTTTGGCCTTGATGCTGCTCTCTGCTGTTTACCAACCTGTTTCGTTGACCATCTATGACGTTGAACATGACACATCAGGAAAACAAATAAAAACAGAAAGGAATACTTGTCTGCTGTTGACAATGGAATAGTCTCGCCACCAGACAATCAGAGATCTCCGCCTTCTGGTAGTCTGGGGACATTCCTTTCTAAAGTGTGTTTAACACACCGGAGAAAACGGCCGGCAACAAAGCAACGCCTCTTGCATTTTTTAAAAGGACACGTCATCCCGGAAATGTGCGCTCCCCCTTTTCTCGTCCACAAGGAAACAAACACGCACAGAGCTTGAAAATGGATGCCGAGAGATTTAACTCCGATTTATCAAACATGCGCTCAGGCCACAGGATTGTGGAAAGGAAGGACTTACAGCAACTTTGTTTAAAACTTTAATGCAGTCGGACTATGTTTATGAGCACAAGAGTTCAGTGAGCCACCGAAGGACCGCCCTGTGGATTTACGATTGGTTCTGCAACGTAGGGAGTTTTTTTTAAACTCTGAAATTGTATCAGCCCATCTAAACACAAAATCAGGGAGAAAGACATCAGTCTTTAGTTAAGCAAAGCGTCTAAAGACTGACTTGTGAGTCTAACAATGGGAAAGCAGTGAATACCCCCTTTTTTCTTTTAAAAAAAGCGATTTTTGCCTTTAAAGCAACACAATGGAGGATTGCACTTTTTAACCTCACAGGGTGCCCCTACAGACAAAAAACAGTATTGTCTGTTACAACTATTGCAAAAATCTTTCTGTGCGTGCATTTGTTGACAATCCAACAATACCGGTCAACTTCCTGAAGCTGGCCGTGTAATGCGCAATCATCATGTCTTCAGAACAGTAGCTTTATAGCATTTTGTACATTCATGATTAGGCCGATTGCTTTATTAGGGCCCGAGCAGGAGACCTGTGAGGTCCCTATTGTTTTTCTCCCGATTATTTATTTTTAGGGACCGAGCCTAGAGACAGAGGACTGCTCACAGAGCAGTCCTCGCCGAAGGTGAGGACCCTATTGTTTTTGCTGCGTTTATTATTCTTTCTCCCGCCGCCTCTTTGAGCTGGAATTTGACCCCCTAAACATGCTCAAAAACTCACCAAAATTGTCATGCACATCAGAACCGGTGAAAAATTTTAGAAAATCATGAAATTAACCCCTAAAGTGCCAAAATGGGCTCTCTAGCGCCACCTAGGCACACAAAAATGGCCGCCACGGCCTGTAGGAACGTTGTGACACATACCAGCTCAACTGCTACTAAACAGATCTTCTGTGTAACTTTATCTCTCTCATCATCACATTATTTTCATGATTGGACCAACGGTTTGGGAATGGGAAGAACTTCTTCGAGGAGTTAAATCTCCACTAAAACAGGTCTCTCTGTGTTCTGTCTGTCTCTCTCTGCTCTTCTGCCAGGTGCACTTACTTCATCACCATGGCAACCGCTGTCACACACAAACTCACAGAAACATGATGTGTGTACGTGTCTCCATCTTACATGCAGACATGACAGGGGCACAATCTCCATTTTAACCCTTTAGGTGGCAGAGTTTATTGAGGAAAATATTCCATTTTCATTTCAACATTTCAAAAGGCTGTGGCTTGAAAGTGGTGAGAGATAAAGGCATACTGTAAATGAGAAAACTATTCATCATGACCCAAAGTTTGT